GCACCTCGATGTTCCACCCCTGAGCCAGTCCCGTCCTATCGTTGCCCCTCAGTGTGGAGGGGTTCGTGGGGCAGGGCGGGAGGGAGAGCAGGAGGCCGGGCTGGCCGCACTGAGCAGTGGTGGGCTCCCCCTCCCCACCGCCCTGGCCAAACTCCTGGCCAGTCTCCTTGTGCCTGTGAGCATCCGTGCAACTTCCCTGATTCATGTAAGGGCCTTCGGCCGATCCCGCCACCGCGCCTGGGTTGCGAGTCATATGCCCCTGGGATGTTCGCTGGGACGTCGCGCGGGGCCTGTCGGGGGCCTCGTGGAAGCATTCTGACGCCTCTTTGGGGCTGCTTGGGGGCTGCTTGAGGGCGTCTTGGCTCCCCGGGGCCTCTTGGGGCCTCTTGGGGGCATTCTGGGGGCGTCCTGGGGGCATCTTGGGACGGAAGGCTCGAGTTGCCGCTTCGGGCTCCCACTCTTGGGCGCCTCTTGGGATGGGGCTTTCTGCGGCCAGCCGTCTTGAAACCCTCTTGGGCGGCCTCTTGGGCCATCGTGGTGCCACCTGGAGCATCTTGGACCGATCGCGTAGCGATTCGGAGCACCCTTGGACCGTCTTGGCGAGTCCTTGGAGGTCTCCTGGCCCGTCCTGGGCCCTTCTTGGCCCCCAACATGTCATGCGGACCACATCGGGTGCTGCGCCCAGGGGACCTGGGGACGCTCCAACTCGTGCCTCAGGGCGCGGCGGCGGAGTCCTTTGCTAAGTTCCATGCCAGTTTCCAATCGTATTTTTCCCAGTAACTCCCCAGCTCAGCAGGCGGTGGGCATTGATGTAAATTGCTCCCCCCCCCCCCACACACACCCCAACCGCACCCCCACCCGGAGGCCCGACCATGTCCATAGTCACCGCCTGCCCAGGCCCGCCCCCGAAGACAGATTCCCAAGGTGGTAGTGATGGATAAGCCCCCGCATCGCACGGAAGCTCGAGGAACAACGCAACTGCATACACATGAGTTCTCGGAGGTCCGCTCGGACCTACTGGATCAGCGCTGGGCTCCCCTTGGCGGCGCCTCTGGCGCTGCCCGTGGCGCGCTTCGCGCGCCAGGGAGGGCAGCGCGTCTGAGGAGCTCCGACCCGCCCAGATTTCGGCCCGTCGCCGTTCTGGCTCAAGCGCTGTCTGCAGCCGGCCTGATCTGCGAGCACTCCCAGCCACATCCCAACCTGCCACCGATGACCTCGGCCACGGAGCGCATGGAGCTCGCGGAGGTCGGCGGCGAGGCCAGCGGGTCGGAGCAGTTCTTGGTCCAGGACGCTCGCGCCAGGCGTTCGCCCTGGCGGGCGGCGGGTGGCGCAGGCGTGGCCGCCCTGCTCCTGGCCGGCGCAGGCGCGGGGGCAGCGCGCTTGACGCTGCACGGGGCGGCCTCGGACACGGACCGCCTCCAGAGCAAGGTGCAGACGGTAGCCCTGCCGCCGCGCGACAAGTGCGCCAGCACGGACGACGACTGCTACAGCCTGGGGTGCTGCAACGTTGCGGGCCTGAACTGCTTCGAGACCAAGCCGGGGAAGGGCAAGTGCCTGAAGAATTGCACCCCCAGCGCCTCCCAGCTGTGCGTTCAGACGCAGCCGATCATGGACCCGATCCTCAAGGATGCCGACTGGTACGGCCCGTCATTGTACTGCTTCGCAGTGGTCATGCAGGACATCGGCAGCACGAAGAAGATGTACGATTTGGAGCTGCTCCAGGGAGCATACGGCAGGAAGACCAGCATCTTCGGGTGCGAGAATTGGGGAGTATTCAGCGACAAGGAGGGGGAGGTCGGGCCCGGCGCTCCGCTCGTGAAGCTGGAGGATGCCGACGGGGATTTCCATTTCGCGAAGAGAGAGGAGACCGGCACCTGGCTGAATACGGGCTTGCATTACCAGGCTTGGAAGGCAATTGGGGAAGCCGGCGTGTACAAGAGCGCTAACTGGGTCGTGAAGGTCGATCCAGACGCGGTGTTCGTGCCGAGCCGTTTGGTGTCTTACTTATCTAGCAAGGTGGTCCCGGCCAACGGCCTCTACCTCGAGAACTGCAAAGGCGTGAAGTACGGGTGGTTCGGCAGCTTGGAGATCTTCTCGGCGGTTGCCTTCGAGACGCTCCTGGGGTCGATGGCTTCGTGCAAGGACACCGTCGATTGGAAAACGGGCATTGACGGAGGCAAGTACGGCCCCATGGGTGAGGATCTATTTGCGCAGGTTTGCTTGGATACGAACGGCGTCTCCCGTGGAGAGGCATTCGGCACCAAGCTGGACGGAACTTGCGAGGCGGACCGGCCAGCCGCCGAGAAGAAGAACAAGAAGTGGAAGCCCACGTGCGACGGCGAGAACTTCCCGGCGTACCACCCGCTGATGAAGCCCGAGGACTATATGGCGTGCTTGGATGCCACCACCAAAGCATTCGGCTACTGAGCGCCCTACAGGAGCCAGTGAAGCTGCGGTGCGCCAGGCAGGGCGCCCTGTCCGCCTGCCTTCTGCGCCCCACGCCCGCTGTTTTTTAGTCGTGCAGGCATTTTGTCGCGCTGCCCTGGCCACTCCTCCCCACACGAAGCTGGTGTTGAGCTAAGATGTGTCTGAGGCAGCAGGCAGCCTGGCGCTGCTTAGTCATGGGAGTCCCCCATTCTCTTCCGGTTTGTTCTGACCGCCCCGAATGGAGCATCACCACCTTAGTCATGCAGTGCCCTATTGTGGATCAGCATCTGCTTTTTCCACGGAGGCCTCTGCGGTGCTCTGAGCCTCATGTGCATGTATGTTTTCCCGATCTGCATCGATGCGCCGAGGGCAACAAAATGACAGCGCTGAAGACGGCAGGGGTGTATGTCAGGTGCAACGTGAAAAGGGGGGGACAGGCTCGGGAGGACACGCACCTCGATCTTCCACCCCTGAGCCAGTCCCGTCCTATCGTTGCCCCTCAGTGTGGAGGGGTTCGGGGGGCAGGGCGGGAGGGAGAGCAGGAGGCCAGGCTGGCCGCACTGAGCAGTCGAGGTGGGCTCCCCCTCCCCACCGCCCCGGCCAATCTCCTGGCCAGTCTCCCTGTGAGCATCCGTGCAACTTCCCTGATTCATGTAAGGGCCTTCGGCCGATCCCGCCACCGTGCCTGGGTTGCGAGTCATATGCCCCTGGGATGTTCGCTGGGACGTCGCGCGGGGCCTGTCGGGGGCCTCGTGGAAGCATTCTGACGCCTCTTTGGGGCTGCTTGGGGGCTGCTTGTGCTTGAGGACGTCTGGGCTCCTCGGGGCCTCTTGGGGCCTCCTGGGGGCATCCTGGGGGCGTCCTGGGGGCATCCTGGAACGGAAGGCTCGAGTTGCCGCTTCGGGCTCCCACTCTTGGGCGCCTCTTGGGACCGTCTCGGGGCTCTCCGCGGCCGTCTTGGGCGCCTTGGGCCGGCCTCCTGGGCTGCTCTGGGGCCATCTTGGAGGCCTCTTGGGCGACCTTGGGGCGACCTTTGGGGGCTCTTGGGCCGTCTTGGGCCGTCGGAAGGCTGAACAGAAGCAAGTGCCCAAATATGTTCAAACGTGGCCTCGTTGGGCCTTCCTGGAGGACCTCTTCCATGCCTCTTGGGCCGTCTTGAAAAACCTCTTGGGGGCCTCTTGGGCTGTCTTGGGCCATCTTGGGAGCCATTTTGGGCCGTCTTGGTGGGCTCCTGGCCCGTCTGCTGCCGTCGGAAGCCGCCTTGGGAGCCTCTCTGAACCGACTTGGGGCCCTCTTGGGGTGCTCCAGGACCGTCTTGGATACCATCCTGGTCGCCTTGAAGGCCTCTTGGGCTGTATTGGAGCCCTTTTGGGGGCCGTCTTGGGGGCCTCTGGGGCCGTCATGGGGCCATCTTGGAGGCCTCTTGGGCGATCTTGGGGTGACCTTGGGGGCCTCTTGGGCCGTCTTGGTCCGTCTGAAGGCGGAAAAGGCGCAAATGCCCAAGTCCGTCGAAAACCTGAGGGAAATCAACGATCTCTTGGGCCGTCTTGGAAGCTTTCTGGGGGCCTCTTGTGCCGTCTTGGGCCATCCTGAGGCTATCTTAGGCCGTCTTGGGTGCATCTTGGGCTGTCTTGGAGACATCTTGGGGCCATCTTAGCTGCTTGGAGGTCATCTTGGAGGCCATCTCGGGCCATGTTGTCGGTCCTGAAAGCCATCAAGAGCCGTATTGAAATCATTTTTCTGGCCTCGGGGACGCGAGTATTAAGTAATCTTCCAGGGAATATAGCCTCGGGGGGGCCAATCTCATGTATTTTTATGTGTCCCACGCACCCCCCCGGGGATTCAGGCAACGCGCTCCGAGGGTGGTAATCGGATGGCTCCCCCCCCTCGCGCGGATTTTACAACAACTTACAGTAGGAGGCAGAAAGCATGACTGTAACAATGGAGAGTTGAAACTGCAACTGGTGCAGGGAGCAGGCCGGCGGATTCTTCAGTGGTGAGAGTTCAAAGCTTCAGCCACGCACCAAGGGACAGTTATTGACCGTTCGGCCCCCTCTTTCTGACCATGCGGGGTCCGACGGCAAGAGTGTTTGTTGTTCAAGCCACACATCTTTTGTTCAACCCCAAACGAACTATCCAATTCCGTTTGGCGATTCGATGGGTGCCGTCTTCTCTTCGGCCCCGGCACGTGTTTTTTGCACGGAGGCGGAGCAGGGGGGGCGCGGCGAGGCCCGAGAGGAGAGATGGGGTGCACGCCCAGCGCTCTTGGAGAAGGCGGCGGCGGAAGGCTGTGTGGGGACGGGGGGGACGAAGTGCCATTCAAGCAGCATTGAATTCCGAAGCTGTGATTCTCTCACAGCGTAGACCCCAAAAGGGTCTGGGCCCTTTCTCAGGGATCGTGTTTTTTTCACCCGGAGCAGTTGTGTTCGACAGTCCCATGCAGGGCCCAGTGAGGGCACCGGGAAGCCGAACACTGTCAAACTTGTCCGTCGCGTTTTCTTTCAAGACTCGGGGGGGTCCGCCTGGGGATACCGAGTTCAAAACGTCCTCCATGCCGACTTGGTACCTGCGAGGATGCCGTCCCTCGGCCACTTCCTGGCCAGCGCGGCCTGCGCGGACCTGCGGCTTGCGCGCGCGGGCGCGGGCGCGGCCGCGCCGTGGAACTCGGAGGCGCGGCTGGCGCTGAGGAGGGTCACGCACGCGAGCGCGGGAGATCCAGGCCGCCGAGGTTTGAAAAACAACCAACATAATTTGTCCGCGGACGACATGTATGCACCGTGCCGCGCCTCTCGAGCCATGGTCGATCTTCGTCCCTTGAGTTTCGCAGTGCATAGTTTTCCAGCCATATCAGCCACGAAACGGTGCCGTACCGCGCTGGAGCGGGGCCTGAAGGGAGTCCAAACATGGTACAATGCACGGGCGTCCTTCCCGCAATAAATATAGCGGTGCCCCCCCCTGGCGACGCCTTCGGCGCCGCCCCTGGCGCGCTTCGCGCACCACGGAGGGGATTCAGCGCCGATCCATGAAATCTGCGCGGGGTTTCGACAATTTCTCTTTATCACGTTTTCATTCTTGTACATATTCAGAAGAGGAAGAGAGAGAGCCACATCTCCGACGATACGTCCCTTTTTCAATCCTGTACTTTTTCCTCGATCTCGACCTGCTGGGCCCGTTATCGTGCGTCGTGGCCACCAAACGCGGGCCTGGGGCGCAAAACTATTTTCGGGGAAGGGGTCGGGAGGTCTGGGGCCGCGAATCGACAACATCTTGTCGGAGGATGTCTGGGGATGCCGATACTGCTATCCCCAGACCCCTCGCGTCTTGAACAAAAGTATGACGGACTGTTTCTGGTATTTTCGGCTTTGAGGGCCCTTACGGGGCCCTGGGACTGTCAAAATGCGACTCAGGATGTAGAGGCGGCCACCGGGAAGATGTCCAAACCTTGGGGGGTGCACGTCTGATCCTCCTGACGCGAACACACCATGACGTCGACGGTCTGGTCCTCCTCCCCTCTCCTCCCCTCTCCTCCCCTCTCCTCCCCTCCCCTCTCCTCCCCTCTCCTCCCCTCCCCTCTCCTCCCCTCCCTTCTCCCCTCCCCCCCCCTCTCCCCTCCCCCCTCTCCTTCCCTCTCCTCTCCTCCCCTCCCCCCTCCTCTCTCCCCTCTCCCCTCTCCCCTCTCCTTCCCTTGTCGGCACGGCTGGATCTGCCTCGGAACCCTGGTCAGAACGCACCCCCAGAGAGGTCTGGGAAGTGCCGGTATCGATGGCTGTTCGTCCCTCAGAGGTGGGGTCGAATTGCGGCAGGTTCTCGTCCTAACGACGCGCCCGCGATCCCGCCGTGGGCGTCGATAGTTGAACTCCGCTGTTTGCCCGGAAGGGGCCGCTACGGAAGGATCTGGCGGTCGGGAAGCCGCCGCTCGTTCAAGGAAGCACGATCAAGGCGCTGTCAGAGACCAACGCGGAAATCGTCGCGACCGAACCTGGTGGGTCGTGCCATATCGCTTGCATCGGCGATTGGGATCGATTCGAAGCCCGATTTTCCGTCCCGACGTGGCCGATGCATCGGCGATGCGTCGCGATCCTCCGACCCCGTCTCCCATGGCCCCCTTCTGGCAGCCTCCAGGAGAGCGTGAGGCGTGGTCGGCGCCCACTGCCACCTCCACCGCCGCCTGGGTCAGCCAGAGGCCGGAGGGCGTCCGCTGTATTCGAGGGGCCAGTCGAGACCGCGGTGGCCCCGCTTGGCTTTTTTTTTTTTGTCTTGCTTGGCCACGGTTGTACTCGCCTCGCAAAACGGGTCATGGTGGACGGGGGTGGGGTCCGTGGGGCCGATTGTGAGCGGATTTGGGATGGGCCGGGAGCCACCGCGTTCGCAATTGACTCTCCTTCGACATGCGTGCACCCTCACCGATGCTGGCCAGGCCCATCCTTGGCTGAGGATCGGTGGAGACAACCTCCCCGCCAAGCAAGGACTGCGGGCGCGCTGAGACCTGGATGGGCCCTGCTGGGATCCGTGTTGGCGTATCGGTGGCGTCCTCTTGGAAGGTGCTGCGCGAGGGCAGAGAGGCCTGGTCCTCTAAACCGACCCCCGCAGACATGTTGGCGAGGCATGGCTGCCATTCTGGCAGGAACCTGGGGAGGCGCAGTCAGCGCGGCACTTCACGCATGTGCGTGCGCACGCGGCTGCTCAATGTTAAGTCGGGCCTGTCCCTCTACAGGGGGAATATTCAAAAATAGTCAAAATATAGTCTGGGGACTATTTGTGAATATTTTGTTTTGGCAATTTTGGAGTATGTTTTAAGTATTTTTGCATTTGTGGTCGAAAATCTCCCTGTAGGGGGACAGGCCCGACTTAAACTCAGCGCCGCACTTCACGCATGTACGTGCGCACGCGGTTGCTTACTGTTCTCGCCCCTCCCGGGGTCCCAGGACGTCGGCTCCCCGGGTGGTGGGTGTGGATGGACCCTTTTGCCTCGCAGAGTCCTCCAGGGCCACTGGCCCGGGCGCGGCGCCGCCGCCCAGCGGCGAGGTCTACGGCCGTGCGGTCGGCTTCGGGCAGGGGATGCCCAGCTGGGCCGACCGCGGCCGGCGGCCGCTGCGCCCCGTCTTCTTCGCGCACGACCGCTCGGCGCACGCGGAGATCGGGGGGGGCGCTCGCCCTCAGGGGAGGAAGGCCTACCCGTATCCGCGGCCTCGCGAGCCAGGCTCTTTGTGCAAAATTTGAAAATTCGTTTCAAGACCCGGTATTTTTACCACCTGTAGTGGGTTATGCCGCGTCTGCCAGTTAAATTCTCAGGTCCGTAGCCCCGGGGCGTTTCTCCGCGGAGGCTCCGCGCGGAACGCATCTCCGTGCGGCCGCGCCTCCCCGGGGAGTGCGCGCCCGGTTCCAGGCCGCGAGGGCGCGGAGCGCGGATCCGGGAGTGTTCGCCGGTCCTGAAGTTCCCCGGATCTCCGAAAGAGTCGCTGTTTTAGTGTTTTGCTAAGATCTAGGCCTCCTAGATGGAGTCCGAGTAGATGGGGTCGGAGTATCGCGCCGTATCGCCGATGCATCGGCGATGCATCGGCGATGCGGCTCGATGTGGGGCCCAATCTTCTCCGCGCCGACATCGCCGATGCATCACCGGCGCATCGCCAGTGCATGGCCGACGCATGGCCGATGCATTGCCGATGCATCGACGATGTATCGGCGATGCGGCGTGATCCTCCGACCCCATCTACTCGGACCCCATCTAGGAGGCCTCTATAAGAGGGTTCGAATGTTGGTAAAGAATCCCACAGGCGGGACGTGTAGCCCGAGGGCGCCCATGGAGCGTCCTCACAATTCGGTCAGGGGCCGTGCTCCCGCCGCAATGCCGGCTACGTGTTTGGCTCAGGCGGCCACGATCCGTGGTAGAAAATTCACTGAGGTGCACATGGCTGTGCTGTATTTCTAGCCGGATGCGTTGCTGGGGTCATTTCCGGCGTAACCGCAGCATTTCCTTCCAGTCATCGGGCTCCGTGGTCACCAGACGTGGATCCGAGGGGTGACACATTACTCCCACGGAAGGGCTCGGGATTTCCTTCTCGCGCTGCGGATCGACAAAAGTTATATCCTCGGATGTCTGCTTCTACCCCTGTGCCGACACTGGCGAGGCCGATCCTGGGCCCTGGATCTATTCTGCGGGTGTGTGGATTGAAGCCAGATCACATCTTTGTGTTGACACGCTTGCATTGTCTACGACCTCGTGCCATGGCCAGGAGGGCGCATACTTAAGTCGGGCCTGTCCCTCTACAGGGGGAATATTCAAAAACAGTTAAAAAATAGTCAGGGGATTATGTTTGGAGTATGTTTTGACATTTTTTTTTTTTAGTACTTCTGCATTTTTCGTCGAACATCTCCTTGTTGGGGGACACGCCTGACTTAAGCGTATACCCCGATTCTGGGCCCAGGATCGGTCTCTGGCCAGGACTGGTGCAGCTGCACAGAAGGGGGTGCCCTGCCCCAGGAGAGGCTGGCGCTGCTGGAGCTCCTGAGGGCGCGGCGGCGGCCTTCCGGCCCCGCTCCTGCCCGCTCCCGCGATGTCCAGGCCTCCCCGACTCTGTGGCCCGATTTGATGGGCCTCTTTTTTCCACCACCACCACCATGAGTTGGAGGGGGAGAGGGTCCTCCTCCTGCTCCACCTCCTCCTGCTCCTGCTCCTCCTCCTCGTCCTCCTCGTCCTCCTCGTCCTCCTCGTCCTCCTTCCCCCTCGTCCAACTTAGGCATGGTGGTGGCGGAAAACAGTCCCATCACGATTGCGAGCCCTGCCCCCGCAGGTCCGAGAATCGGAGGGGGCCGGTCGAGACAGCGGCGGCCCTCCCTGGCCTTTTTTCCGGGAGCCCCCGCCGGGCGGGAGAGCCGCCATTGTCTTCACTGGGGGCTTCCTCCGACATCGACGATGGGGTCTGGGATGCCTAAAACGACGCGAAGATCGGGACAAAATCGGATCGGGATAATTCGAAATCTCTGAGAATCGGCCGGTTTGGAGGATGTATTGGGCGCCGCGGCCGCTCCAGAGCGTTCCGGAACGCTCTGAGAGCGCTCCGGAACGCTCTGGAGCGATTTATCCCGATCCTAGCCCTGTTTTAATAATTAATGCCCCCGCTGGGGGGCCACCTCATTGGTGGCAGACATCCTTCGAGCTCGTCACCTCAGCCGTCGCTTCACAGGTCTGACCTGGAGGGGGCAGGGTGCGCACCGGCAGGGGGAGGGCGCACGGGTGCATATATGTGACATATGTGTTTGCCTGCAAATGGGGCTGGAGCAGATGGGGTCGGAAGATCGCGCTGCAGCGTTAAACCATCGGCTACGCGGGGCGGTCTGGAGCCCGTTCCCCTCAACCTCGCCGTCGCCGATGCATCGCCGATGCACCGACGACGGCGAGAATCGGCGACACGTCGGACGTGTCGCCGATTCAAGGCGGATGTTTTAAGGCGGGGAAGGGGACAGATTGCAAGATCCTGTTCAGGATCCCCACGTTTGGAGACATCGACTGAGAGAGACGTGTAGGCACTGTATTCGTGTGCTCTTGCCGACGCGCAGTGGGCGTAGGGCTTCTGTCTGCCCGTCTGTTTGTCTGAGCTCGCGGGCCCCTCGGGCCCTCCTCGGACGGCGGCGGGGCATGTCGTCGATTCTCGCCCATGTGAGAAAGTGCAACGCCAGGCATGGCGTCCGTCGGGGGACGCGCTCCATGCGGCAAGCACTACACGCTACGATCGCACCAGGAGGAGGAGGATTGGCTTCGGAGGTGGAGGAGGAGGAGATAGGAGATAGGAGGAAGGAGGAAGGAGGAGGAGGAAGAGGCAGGAGGCAGGAGGCAGGAGGCAGGAGGCATGAGGAGGAGGAGGAGGTAGGAGGAGCAGGAGGAGGAGGAGGAAGGGGAGGTGGAGGAGGAGGAAGGGGAGGAGGAGGAGGAGGAGGAGGAGGAGGAGGAGGAGGAGGGGAGGAGGAGGAGGAGGAGGAGGAGGAGGTAGGAGGAGCAGGAGGAGGAGGAGGAGGAGGAGGAGGAGTGAGAAGGATGAGGTAGGTGGTAGGAGGAGCAGGAGGAGAGAGGAGGAAGAGGAGGTGGAGGAGGAGGAGGAGGAGGCGGAGGAGGAGGAGAGGGTAGCTGGAACGTAATCTAAGGGGGGGCTTCTTTCAGCAAGGCTCGGTTTTCCCGCAACGGCAGCACAGGCCGCTGCAGAGCGGACGGGCCTCCCAAGAAGCACCCCGTGCGTGCGCGGGAGGTATTCGGGGTTCGAGGTTCGAGGCTCGGACATCCATCTGTGTCCGAGGACCGTCGAAGGAGACAGTTTTTCTCTCCTGGCGGTAACGGGCGTGACCAGGGGGGGGGAAAGGGGCCAGTACGTCACGATTTGCGCCAGCGCTGTCTGCGAACACCTGTTGATGGCTTTCCCAAAAGGCGCTGGCGCGAATGGTAACGTTAGCAGGGTCAATGTTCGAAGCTCGGAGGTCTCAGTACTGAATAAACGGCACGAACACAGATTTTCGGAGTTTGCGCGGATGCCTTGAATCGGCGCTGCCCCCCCCCCTTGGCGTCGCCTCTGGCCCCGGTTTTGTCGCGCGGAGCTCCGACAGTTTGAGTTTATGTAGATGTTTCTATTTCGAGGATCGAAGGTCGGGGATCGAGGTTCGAGGATCGAGGCTGTTGGGCCTTCTTGTTGCTCCTCGGGCCTCCAGATACCTCCGAACTCCTCTCCAACGGAGGACGAGGATGAGACAGGAGGAGGAGGAGGAGGAGGAGGAGGAGGAGGAGGAGGAGGAAGAGGAGGAGGAGGAGGAGAAGGAGGAGGAGGAGGATAACGGACAAAGGACAAAGACAGTTGGGAAACTGTCTGAGCGAGCACAGCAAGCATACTTGGCCTGTAGAGTGTCTAGGTTTGCATGCCTCGTTATAAGACCCGCTCAGGAGGACCTACATGGCCTTAATTACCCAGACGATCTAGGCTCCACTAACAGGGGCGTCCCCTGTCTGGCGCTAGGCGGCGCGGAGCCTACGGACAGGCAGTGGCGTGTCCGAGGCTCATAGGGGGACGACGACACGAACGATCACTCGAACAGAGGAAAAGAGAGAAATTGAGCAAAGGGCTCTGGGCGGCGGCCTCGGTGGTCATCTCCATTACCCGAGGCCCCACTGCCCTTGCGGCGAGGAGAGGAGGACGAAGACGAAAAGACTAGAAAACACAGGGGGGGACACGCCGAATTCTGGGAGCTCAGGATGCCTCTGAAACAGATACTACATAATTGGGCCAGCCCCATTTTCTGGGGGATGCCGTCACTTGTGTAATCCAGTTCCTCCCTCTTGGCCCCATGTAGCACAATCACACTGCACAATCCCTTCCCCCCCCTGTGGGCTTCCCGGAGACGCAGAGGCCGCCCTCGACAACCATGGGCGCGGTAAGTGTACCACATGGAGTAAAGGCTGATTTGATCCATTCGTCGTCATCGATTATCTTCAACTCGGCACCGTCGTTTGGCCGTGCTCTCTCGCCCGTCGCCGTTTCCACAGCGATTGGCTGTTCGTTTGCTTTGCCTACGCGTCCACTCGGATGCAAGGCTGCCGTAACGTACTGCACTGTGCCTATGTGTCCTGGTTGTTGGTCCCTCGGTTGTTGTCTAGTAGTTGGTTGGTGATTGCCGTCGTAGCAGGGAGGACTCGATTTAACCCTGAATCGTCGTACAACAACCCACCTCGTCCACGCACTTCTCTCCCTTCCCACTGCACACCTCCTGCTGGCCTAGTTGGTGGCAGTGCTGTGGCTGTCGTCGTGGTAGGTCGGACCTGCTGTCTTTGTATGGGGAGTTCGAATATTTTATCCTCTCCGCTCTCTGCCCCAGGTCGACAACAGGGAAAGGTCTGCTCTCTGCATTTTCTTCTGCTCGCACCAATCCATCCCATATCCACTCGCAGCTGAACACGACTCCAATCCAGCCGGTTCCCATAGTGTCTCGAGCTCCTGGCTGGCGCCCCGGGTACCCGATGACGAGGGGGCCGCCGTGCTCGCGAGGGCTCGTGGTCTGCCGTCGTTTCGTCTGTTCGAGCTGCCTGATCTCACTTCTCCCTGGCACGCTGCAGCTGCCTCTCCGCCGTGCGCTCGAGCCCTGTCCTCGGGCCGTGGCACGTCGCCCTCGCCCGTTCCGAGCCCGGCGAGGCAGAAGCCCACCGCCTGCCCGCCACGCTGCGTGCCGGACTTTCACACGTTTGTCCTCCAGCGCCTGGCGGAGCTGCGGGGAGCGGCTGAAGGCCAGCGTGATCGTGCCTTGCCCTTGCGCGTTGGCTGCTTCACCCTCTAGGCCCTCTTGTTTGCTCCTGCTGCACGCCTCGCTCGTCTTGTGGAGGAGGACAGCTTCCATCGCGATCACCCGTCCGTGCCTGCCGTTCGCAATCCGTTGCCATTCCCTGATGATGTTCAGCGCCCACGCGATGTTCTTCTCTTGGCCTTCCTGCGCCATCGCCTCCTGCCAGCTTGTTGAACAGGCTCTGTGTCATTGCCATCGCGATGTGCACGCGCGGTGGTCCCAGCTTGTGCCCTCCCCCTGCGATGTGTACCCTCTGCCCGTGCAGCTTGCCTGCCCCTTCGAGCCGCCATGAACGCGCGCAAGTTCACTGAGCCAGCTGTCCGCTGCCGCGCACTCAATACCTCGCGCATTTCCTGAGCCGCCTTCAGGGTCAGCCTCTGCAAGCTCTGGAGCGCCATCGGGTAGTCTTCTTCTTCTTCTGCCGGTGGTCGTCTCCCTCCTCCCCCTGGCGGTAGGTCTCCCGAGCCCGATGTTCCCGTGCATGCCGATCTCGCTCCCTTCACGTGGCCCTTGCCTATCGTCTTCAACCTTGAGCCTTTGCCTGCCTCGAGTCCTCGTTTGAGCCCCAGCTCTGGCGTGGACAGCCCCCCCATCATGCCGTCTGTCTCGTACTTCGCTGGGCCCCACGTAATGGCCGCACACGTGCTTCTGCAATTCGCCAAGTTTCTGAGCCTCAAAGTCGCAGATAGGGCATCTTGATGAATCTCCCTCTGCAACTGGGCAAGTCCGTATGCTCTAGTTGCGGTAGCAAATACCATGGCCTTCACATGTTCTCGTAGCGCGATCGGCTGCAGTTCCCCGGTACCAGGGGAACGTACATAGGCACGTAGATCGGCAACGCAGATAGCGTAGGAACGTAGATAGGCACGTAGATAGACATGTAGATAGCGTAGATCTGCCTTTGCGAACTTAGATGGGCACCAAGGGCACTGGTTTGCCACGACAAGACGGGCAACCAAAGTGGCGCATTTGTGGGCTTCTCTCCTGCGTGTCTTCAGGGTCTGGATCGATGCAAATCTCTTCGCGCAACATGCGCTTTACCTGTTCTCCCCCTGTTCTGCCCAATCGCACCAGTAAGGCTTGTCTGCTACCTCCTCCTTTCCGACATGCGTCTCACCCTGTTGTTTCTCCAATTCTGCTACTTGCAATATCGACACATCTGTCGCAGTCCGTTGCTCCCATTCGTTCGCTGTCCCGCTAGATGAAATATGGCAATGCCGGAGATCCTTTGTTCATCCCGGTGACGAAACTCGTCGCAGTTTGTCCCTAATACTCTGAAATGTTCCAACGCCTGGCGGGCCCAAGGCT